CATATTTATAATATATGTATATATCATACATATATATATATATATATACTATACATATGTATATTATATATATATACTCATACATATATAATATGATATATATATATATATATATATATATATATATATATATATATATATATAATATATATATATATATATATATATATATATATATATATATATATATATATATATATATACTATATAATATATATAATATATATATATATATATATATATATATATATATATACTCATACATATATAATATATATATACTATATATATATATATATATATATATATATATATATATATATATATATATATATATATCATATATATATATATATATATATATATATATATATATATAATATATATATGCTCATATATATATATAATATATATATACTCATTTTTTTAATATAATCTAAGCTTTCGGCTTACTCAAGCCATTATCAAAGATGTAATTACAAACATATCAAACAATATACGGACACGACAGTGATGATAGTCTGTCATTGTTTAGTTTACATAGTGGATCACTAAGCAACGATGAACACGCGCATATAAGACGCTAGAAGCGAAAATCGCACCGCATCTCATGACGTCACACATGACTACACGAGAGTGAATTGGAGAATGAAATAAGGAAAGCCGTTGGTATAAACATGAAAGTCATGGTAGAAATATTTTTTTAAAATATTTATTACCCCACCACAAATAATTTTATGAAAACGCTAGAAATTCGATCGCATCGGTTTTAGTGATTACAATAATTAAAAGCACACGACTTTGAGGAATGCAAATCATGTTTTTTTTTTTTTTGTTTTTAATTGGATACGCATTAACTGAAAATCAGCTCTGAATTGTAACATACAAAACTCAATAAAACAAATATATTATTTAATTTCAAATACTTTTATTTGCTTTTAGTTGTTTTTATGAATATGGACAATATTTTCTGAAAACAAAAAATTTTTTTCGATGAAAAATGAATTTTTAATACAATTATTTGTTATTTCATTAATTATAATAGATTTTACATTTAAGTTGTTAAAATATTATAAAATTAGTTAAAAGCCGCATCGGCTTTCATAAGTGTCCTCATGAGATAGATCTTTTTTTAGCGCGTTGTAAATTGTATCATTTTGACTAATCAGAAGATACCCAGTAATTAAGAAATATAATTTTGTGCTTATAATCGAGCTGTAATTATAAAATACGGAAGACCAACCAGAATATAATTAAGTTGCGTTATTTGAGTTAAGCATTGTTCTCCGCTGTTAAGGTTTTTACTTTTGCGAAACACGTGTGGAGAAGTTAATTTGATTTTTCAATTTCAACTGAGTGAGAAGGGTACCTACAAGTATCAGTATCATCTTATGAAATTTATATGATCTTATTTTTATATTAATCTCAGTTACGACATTTTTCCATAAATGAAATATCAAAATTAATAATAAAATGAATGCAAATACAAATAACAGTAGAATGTAATAAATGTACATAAAATTATAGTATTTTATGTACAATTCTGATAAAATTTCATAAGAAAGGTACCTATAAATTAATTAGATACCTTTCTTAAGAAATATGAAATTTAATGTCACTCTTAACAGTTTTATTTTAATTTCTTTACAATATATTTCCCATAAAGCATCATAAACGTAAAGGTGAAAGCTAAGTAAAAAAAAAAAAAAAAAAAATTAGACCGCTGAAAGTTTTCGTTAAAAATAACGGGGTAAATAATTTGTTCACGTAAATGTAAATTATTTCACTTTTCTCCTTCCGTAGAACAAATTAGCCTCATGGAATTCGTAAATATATCATATTGTTAAGAGTTGGCTTTTTCTTTTTTATTATTAGAGCTTCCATTATTTTTAGTCTTTTTTTGCAAGTGGATGCAGTTAATATATTAGTGTTTTCTACTAGTATGTTCCTAATAGTGTCGGGTAAATCTGAGTGTGTGTTTAAATGTGTTCTGATGGAACTGTGATCAGATAGGTGTAATGTAAGACGTCTGGATAAACATGTGGTTGTGTAGCCGATGTAATTATTTATGAGTCCGGTTTGGTGAGGAACGCAGTTCCTTAAAGGGCATTTGAACTCATAGATAATGTTCGTTCCAACTCTTAACAATATTAACTATGAACAAAGCCACAATGTGCTAACCGTATTCGGAAACTAAAACATCACTACCACACACTGAACATACATAGAACACACTCTACTAAGCTGATAATTGAACCATCCTTGATAATGGCTAAAGGTATAGCCGAAAGCGCTCGGAAACACAGAACATTCGGACAGTTCTTACACACTCTTTGTCCAGAAAAGAAAGCTCTTGTCAGAACACAAGAAAAATTAAATAAAAAGCTCAACTGTAGTACCTTGTCTGTCGTTTTTAATGAAACATGCATATATATACATATATATATATATATATATATATATATATATATATATATATATATATATATATATATATATATATATATATATATATATATACATATATATATACATATATATATATATACATATATATATATATATATATATATATATATATATATATATATATATATATACATATATATATATATATATATATATATATATATATATATATATATATATATATATATATATATATATATATATATATATATATATATATATATATATATATAAAGAAAGAACAGTAGGATATATAATCCGGTGTTCTTATAGATACTTTTATTTATACAAAATAGTGCTTGCTGTAAATTTACAGGGCATTAATATTATAAATTAATTGACTTCAAATATGTTTTTTTCGGTACCCAATTTTAACCATGTTTCAAAAATGGAAGCTAAAACTTCGAATTTAATTTTTTAATTAAATTAAATGCATTAGTTTCATTTCATCCTCAAGCGAATTTTGGAGTAACTTATTTTTAAAATTACTCGGTTTTAAAGGTACAGCAAAAAATTCATAATTCACGTTTCCAAGGATACAGAGAAATCCATTCATCTAGACAAGGGGTTTTTGTGAGTTCATTATTGCTCTATTTTGATGTATCAGTTGTTACTTACGTTTTGGTATGGGGTAGGGATATATTTTTCAATGAATTCTGACATCCGTTAAATGCATGTCGTCTGGATTTTTTTTTAAATTTATTGTTGACGGCAAAAATTCTTACGGTATTTTTTTTCTATTTGTATACCTAAAGATTTGGGGGGTTGTTTAGGTTAGAATACGTTTATTTAACTACGATTATAAAAAAATAAATCACTTTTAATTTTTAATATACTATATTTCTTTTTAAAACAAGTAAATATATTAGAATCACTTACAGTAAATAGAATTATTTTCACATCAAGTATAATTATGTATATTACTAGGTCAAATTTTTTTTTCAATTTATATTTAAATATTATTTAAGTAAAAAATTTTACAGTGACGGCAAAAGTAGCTAATTAATTTCTCTGATTTAGTAAACTTTTAATTTTTATATATTTTTTATAAATCCAGTAATATATAGTTTCTCATATAAGTACAAAGACATGGGTCATTCAATGGCTTACATCTTCTAGCTTTTCATATTGATTTCATTTTACTGTAGGTGTTTTATTGGATTCTTTTAAGGGCTTGTAGTACTTTGAGAGAGGTGTTTAGGTTAGAATATTTTTTTATTTAACTACAGTTTTAAAAGATGCTTAGGTTAGAATTCGTTTTATTTAACTACAATTTTAAATACAACTTTAAAATATTTTCACTGTTAATTTTAATAGACTATATTTCTTTTTAAAATAAGTAAATGTATTTGAATTACTTACAGTAAGTAAAATTATTTTTAAATATCAAGTATATATATGTATATTACCAGGTCACAATATTTAAACATTTTTATATTTAAATAGTATTTAAGTAAAATTTATGACAATTACGGCAAAAATAGCTAATTCATTTCTCTGATTTAGTAAACTTTATTTTTTTATAAACTTAGTAATATATAGTTTCTCATGTATGTACAAAGGACATGGGTCATTCAAGGTCTACATCTAGCTTTTCATCATAATCTCATTTTTCTGTAGGTGTTTTATTAGATACATTTAAGTGCCTGTAGTACTTTGAGAGAGGTGTTTAGGTTAGAATACGTTGTATTTAACTACAATTTTAAAAGATGTTTAGATTAGAATTCGTTTTAACTACAATTTTAAATACAACTTTAAAATATTTTCACTGTTATTTTAATAGACTATATATATATATATATATATATATATATATATATATATATATATATATATAACAAGTAAATGTAATAGAATTACTTACAGTATGTAAAATTATATTTTCACATTAAATATAAGTATGTATATTACCAGGTCGCACTTTTTTAATTTATTTTTAATTTTAAATCTTATTTAAGGAAAATTTTTGACAATGACGGCATAAAATAGCTATTTCATTTCTCTGATTAGTAATATATAGTTTCTCATGTATGCACAAAGGACATGGGTCATTTAATGACCTACATATTCTAGCTTTCCTTATTAACTTCCATTTTACTGTAGGTGTTTTATTTGATTCTTTTAGGTGCCAGATGTACATAAATTTCATAAATATATAAGTACATAAGTTTCATAAATATATATATATGAGTTTGTGTATTTGTACAGTTGAGAGTATGTTCGATCGGAAAGAATTAAATCATCAGAAAATAACGAAACCATGATGGCAAATTAACATTTATGAACCTTTCAATAAATGTGGCTAAATTTAGTACAACACTCCGACATATTCGTTTTCAGAAAATAGATTCAATACGAACCAATTTCTGTATTATATTTTTCCTATTTTCAACTAAAAACATTTTGCCTTTGGTACAAAAGTGGAATAGTTTCATTTTAAATGTTATACAGCTGCATTATATTTCAGCATAATCTGGATATCTTAGGAAAAATGAAATTAAAAAGAAAATAAACGTGGAATTTTTTTTTACCTGTGTTTTACTCCAGGAACAATGAAAACCATACTCCCGATATGTAATCCATCAAATACCGTGGCGATATACAATAAATTGAGCATAAATAATTGATAGCGTCCACATCCGCCAATGGCTTTTATAACTTCTTCGTAGTTCATATTTTTTTTTTTATGTTTCTTTTCTTTTCCCGTTGAAATTCAAAAAAAAAATTTCGTTGTAACTCCCTCATTTAATCAAGACAAACCTCGGATTCCTCTGAACAAATGTCTGTATGTGTAGCCTTTGCCATCAGTTGTACCTATAATATAATCAGCAGCAGCAGAAATAAATGATTGACAAAAAATAAATTATGATTTCCTGTCAAATATGATAGAAACATTATGGTAGGGACAACCTTTCTCGGACAGTGTCATGTTTCATAAATAAATTAAAATAAACATTTAATGTTTCAAAATGACATTTTCTGAAATGTCTTTCTATTGATAATTAACACAACCTGATGTAAATGATGTTTTCTATCAAAATAATACTTCTTGTTAATTGGCAAGATTCAAGAAGATCTAAGTGACAGAAAACAGCTTTAAAATAATATACTGTCACAACAATCACTAGATATAAATGCAAATATAGTTTGGAGTTTTATTCAGTCAAAACAAACACGTATGGAATACAAATACAGAATGTTGTTCAAGAAGGTCATACTAAATATAAATATATTGTGCACATTTTGATATTATTTAATTTTAATATTTAAACTTTGTTAATATCAACAAATCGACGCCGAATCAATCGGGAAGTTATACTATAGAGTCTTAATTTATATACTGAATTGGTTAAAAAAAAACACAGAATGATTCACTTTAAACCAAGTGTGTCAAACTGGCGCCCGACGGGCACACATGCGACACTTTACATGCATCTTGGTGTCTCTTGGTGGCTCTCGCAAAGGTTTTTATAGCCGTGGTACATCGAGAATTTTGTCTATATTAGTAATGCAAATTATTAAAACAGTGATTTTTTTTACAATTGATATCATTAGATTGTTTATTCTACCTCAGTGTTTTTTATTTCGTTTTTTGTTTTTGTTTTGTTTTCGAATGTCAGTGTCTATTTTTAACTTCCGTCTAATTATGTGATCATCCTTGACGACTAAATAAGAACAAATGAAAAGTGAAAACGTCCTTAATTTTGTAATAATTTGCCTTAAAAATCTTGAATTCTAATTCATCTCGTAAAAGGAGAAAATTATCTGAAGAACGAGTGTTTCAAGAAAAGTGGGAATTACAAATCTTTTGTTCCAGTGTTAATGGAAAGATAAACTGTTTGATTTGCAACTACTGCATTGCGACTGCCAAAGAATATAATATGAAAAGACATTATGAAACAAACCATCGATCTTATGATAAATATGAAGGGGATATGAGTGTTTCAAAAGTGAAGGAATTTAAGGTTAACACAGCAACAGAGCAAATATCAGAAAGGCAACGTTAGTTCTGTTACTGCAAGCTTTGAACACTGCGATGCTTTGTAAAATCTGCTGAAGTTTTATGTCCGAGAAGTCACACTTATTTCAAGACATTTCATTATGCAGGTTCCTGGACTGATTGATGAAATAGCAGGTGATTTGAGTCCGCAGTTGAGGACTTTATCATCAAGCTTTGAACATTTTGCTATTGCTCTGGATGAGACTGTTGACATAGCTGGAATAGAACAGGTCGCCGTTTTAATCAGGGCTTGTGACATTGAATTTCATATTTATGAAGAACTAATTGAACTGGTTCCAATGCATGATACTACAACAAGCCAAGATATTTTTGAGAAAGTTGAACAGCTTCTCCATGAGTAAACTTGTGTGTTTATCTACTGATTGTGCTGCCAATGTGGTTGGGAGACATAGTGGTGTTGCTGCCAAGTTAGATAGAAAAATAGAAAACATATATCCAGATTCAACATTCAAGCATTGTCACTGTACAATTCATTAACAGAACATATGTTCCAAGATTTTAAAATTAGATCATGTGTTGAGTTTTGTCATAAAAAAGTGGACTGTATCAGAGGTCGTGCTCTGCATCACCATCAATTTAGCCAGTTATTGGAAGACATGAATAATCAGTTCACAAATGTCCCATTCTACAGAAGTTCGGTGGCTTTCACGTCACAAGATACTGAATTTTTTTTATTGTGACAAGAAATTGTTATATTTTTGGAGATAAAGGGTCAAAGCACAAATGAATTGAAAGGTGAAAGCTGGCTCCAAGATCAAGATTTTCAGTGGATATTACTGTCCAATTAAGTGACCGTTATTTGAAATTATAAAATAAAAATAAGTGTTTCATTGCAAAAGTAACTTTATTGAAGTCCCACTTGTCACATGAAAACTTGATTCATTTTCCTATGTGCAAGGAGTTGAAAAAAGAAACTGCCAATACTGAGTCTGTATTTATCTTTGCTATGTACGACAATTACCTGGAATTGCTGTCAAAGGAATTTCAGCGAATATTTTGTGATGTTTCATCTGGTGAACATCAGTTTGCATTATTCGCAGCACCATTCACTTTTGATGTTACTCAGGAAGAGGAAAGTCTACAGATGGAACTACTGGAAATGCAGACTGACTCAATACTCAAAGGAAAGTACCTAGAAGTAGGGGTACCCGGATTTTTCATACCTTCCTCAGACCTTTAAGAACTTCAGAAAGTTTGCCACAAAGATTATGGCGATGTTTGGTTCCACATATGACTGTGAGCAGTTATTTTCTTTTACGAAGACTACAAAAACGTCTCAAAGAACCAGATTAACTGGTGAACATTTGTCATCTTTGATCAAAGTGGGATCTATACAGACAATCCAACGTGATATAATGAGAATAGTTTGTCTAAAGCGATGTCAATCATCAGGACAACATAAAAATAATTCTGCTTCACTACCTTGTATTGTAAGTATTTTATATTTAAAGTTTAGATACCACTGGGTGTGATTAATGCAAGACTGTAATGTAAGCAAATGCGGCGATCAAGGCTGCAGATATGGCCGATGCGGTCCTCCATATGCCCTGATTTCGACATGCCTGCTTTAAACCATGCCTGTTTACAAACTTTATTTACACTGATTATGAAATTAGACTTGATCCCCCTTTTAACAACTTATTGAAAACCAAATTCTATACATCTATCTTTTTTATAAATCACCAGAATATATTGGTTCGTTATTATATATATATATATATATATATATATATATATATTACAATTTTCTATTTGAACCTCACACATAGAACATTTTACACATTAAATTTCATTCAAGCAATTTCTCTAACAGTCTGGCATCATTTCACAGTTTTTTCTATTTGAATTAAACTTGTTATTAACTTTCTTTGGAAAGTGTAATACACAAACTTCATCTATTGTACTACATTTTATTTACCCATAATTATTTTTATATAATTTCAATTTTTTATGATATAAAATTTTATACTCGTCTCGTAAACTTATTATTATTATTATTATTATTATTATTATTTCCTTTGATTTTTGTTGCATACACATTTTCTTCCGGGTCCCAACCAGAGATCTAAGGTCAGAAATTGCCTCATGATATTTTCAACTGATCATTTTAAAAAAAACTAATATTATACATGAACATCAACATCACTAGTTCGAAGTGACACTATTTTGGGCGTGATTTAGGTATAATATGGTTTTTCAGAGTTCCATGCTATATTTATGGAAATTTAGTATCACTGATAAGAACTCCCACATTTCTAAAGCCTTAAGAATTCAAGATTATGGCACAGTATCAAAGTCATTACGGTAAGCTATCCAAGCTGAGCATTTTAGTTGATTTTTGCAACTATATGAACCTCTTGAACATTAATTCTGTTCCAGGAGAAGAATGTTGTTTTCATCGAGAAAAGTGTAAGTACAGTTCGTCAGGACAGACGGGGTCAATTTATATGTGCTTGACCGACATATTATTGGCATGATATTTTTAGGTCATCTATTTCACTCGTTTTTGCTAGGAGATATGTAATGCCTTCAGTGATCCATACTGAAATTTCATTTGGCGTTAATTAGCATTGATAAAGTTTGCTTGAAGAGTTTTATGGATTGCTGTCAGCGGAGCCAAAACTTATGTACCTTGTCATTTTCTGGGGATTTCCATTTTTGGTATTTTGTTAAAACTCGCCTAATCTTATTCTTGCTTATATTGTTCCGTCTTGGACATGTTTATCATTCATTCTTTCTTGTTCTCGTTTGATCAACTCTGCATTGGGATATTATTATTATTATTATTGTTGTTGTTGTTATTAATTAGTTTGATGATCACGATCTTAAGCAAAGCTAAATAAATGTTGATATGCCGCGAAACGATCATATGTAAATAAGCACCTAATATTTTGAATGCATTTACGCTGAACCAACTAGTGAATAGCAATTTCTTTGCAAAACTGTACACACTTCGGTTGATTTTCTCATAAGATTTACACTTTTATGAATCATATTGAAGGTTGCAATTTAAGATCAATAGTATTCCATATAGTATACATATTATATTCAAATACTTGACAGCAATTGTGTATGACGCTAGCTTCTCAATCTTTATTTCTAATCAAGGAAATCGATTGAATGGCATTGATTTTAGAACCACCTTATAAAAAGAAGAATCTCAAAAATGTAATATACAAATTTGCTTCCTGTCTGTTGTTGCTCTCAACGATAACTACTTCTTCACATCTTCGTGTACATGTTCATCATTTCATTCCCTCAATTTGTCTAATATCTATCTCACTACGTTCTTCTGCATATTTTAACTTTGGTGAGCCATGAGTGCTAAATTCCAAAATTCTAAAATTTACTCATTAAATATATCCAACATTTCAGCTCTCGTTATTTATTAAAAATCCCTCAATACTTCCTCTTCTTAAAATTTCTGAATTTGTTACTCTCGACATTCTTCAATATAACCTTATTTCGTTCGCTGCACCTTTTTTTCTTTGTGCCTAGAAAATTGTTAGATATTTTTAGTGTGTTTCTGAAAATTATTACATTTTAGCTCACCACCAACTCAAGTATTCCCTACTTTCTACTTCTTTCATCCGTTATTCAACCTCTGCCACGTTAAAAATCAGTGATATTTGTAGATTTATAAAGACATACCGTTATTAAGTTAGGTATGTGCAAAATAGCTATACAAATAGATTAACATTTTCGAGATATTTAATAAAGCCGGTTTTTAATCATACAGAAACTGAAACATCTTATTGTGTTTTCAACTTGTCATGAAGCTCTTTCGCTATATTATTCCATAGCTCTTGACTGCGATCAGATCCGTAATCGTCATATACTCCAAGTCTTCTTTACTTCATACACGAAATTTCAATTCTTTCTAATAGCAGTTCTTTTTGCTTTATAGTCTACCTGAATTTATAACATGGTCTGTCCATGATATTGTCAACATCGATGAGTTTCGATCGCTTCAGATTTTGCTGTCATTTGAGACCACAAAAATGTTTATTTTTAGAAATATTACTATTAAGTTTTAACGCACCAGTCACTAGTCCCCACTTTACTTTTCAGATGTTTCATCAGTTGTTCAACCCCTACCATAGTAAAACAAGTCATTTTTTATTTACGGATATATTAATAGAGTGTCTGACTGTGATTTCGTTAGGTATATACAAAATAATTGTAATAACAGATTACATTTTCCGCGGTTTCTTTGAGTCTTACATAGTATTTAAAATAGATTACTATTAGTAGCATTACAGGATTGCAAACTAAATTAGAAACATTTTTCCAATCATTAAAACAGGACATGTAAAGACATAGGAGAAAACAGAACATCGAATGAATCAAAATCTCCAGTTTCCTAAAAAAAATCCATACAAAGTAGTAAAAGATGTAAAATAAAGACAAAGGATTTTAACCTGCAATTAACTCTTTTTCATCACGGACTCCGTATCTCTTGGCACTTTTAGAAAATTTTCCTGGTAGTTGTGAACCCAGGGTTCCACGTAATTTGCTGATCTTTGCTGAAATAAATAAGTCAATCTCACAGAATATTATAGATTTCAGGAAGTATTAGAATGTTTCTCATACAGCTGACAATTACCACTGACATAAATTAAAACTTCCCTATTATTAATATTTTTGGCTATTAGTTTTACTTTTGATGAAGGTTTAAAAGATGAAGGAAACGATAGATGAGCTACGACAGTGAATTTAACTTCCATTTTGATTTTTTTAGATGTGGAACAATTTATATACAATTTATATTTAGTGTATATATTTTAAATGATGAATTAATAGTAATTGAAACTATATATATTTAAATATAATTGGAAAAAAGGTGAAAAATTAAAATAAAAAAAAACAATTCAGTAACGAATAAAAAATTATGTAAATTTATAAAACTCGACGAAAGTCGTCTGAAACGAGCCGCAAAAAGGATACGAGAAAATAAAAAAAAAAGCTTAATGATAAGCTTGTAGTGGATCCAAGATGATTACTTTGAGCGAGGAAAAATATTCTATTAACCTGAAATCCACTAACAGAATTTGGAACCATGTTTTTTTTAGTTTTCAGCCACATGAAGAATGAATTAGAAAATGAGGTTGTATATAGGGTCAAATTTTGTGTATCAGCAACCAGACAAAAATGTTGCACAAATAGGTATTTACAAAACTGTGTAAAAAGATGGTCATATTTAATTATGATCTTTTATTGTCTACTCTTGTTCCTTCTCTTTCAGTAAGCACTCATTGGTTATTGACTTTTATCGCCCTGATCGGCGTAAAACTATTTTTAAAAATGTTTAATATTCTAGTTTGATATATTCTTAGTTCCTAATAGAAAGCAGCATTAATTAAAAACAAAATGAGTTAATTTCAGATTAAATAGCTGAAAGTTTAAAACCGAAGAATAAGCGGGAAAACAAATAAGACACGTTTTAATGTAAAAAAAGATTTTGGGTTCATTTTTTACGCTGGGATGGATTTTAGGTACTTTATGCGAGGACTGAATCTAACCAGACCATAGGGATTTCATAGTCATTTCTTCTCATGTTTTTCTGTTTGAATTGATGTAATGTCCTCGTATATGGTAGGTAAACAATTAAAAGATTCAATAATTAACTGGACGTTAGTCAGGATGTAAATGTTCAACAAAATGCTATGCATCAGAAAATGGTCGAGCTAATTTTCGGTCGATAAAGCTACAAGACAGAAATACAAATTCAAATTCCAACAAGGTCCGAATAATTGAAAACTGGAATGTCGGTTGGCCATATTGTTTAAAAACTGGACTTGGAAGAAAAGAAAAGAAAACTTAACAATTAGAGTACTAGAATCATTATCGACATATTTTTATTTCTTTCAGAAATTAATTTTTAAAATTTCTAGCGATCACATGTTTATTGTGGTCAATGTCTTACAAGGATATTATTTGCTATTTTCAAATATTATTCTAGAATTTAAAACACTATATGACTAATAAAGTAATGATGCCTCGAAGATTCAACATTGTCAGCACTTTAATGAAAAATACATTACCACAAATACACAACAGGATTCATCGACCAGTTAGTGCTTTCATTAAACAATCAGAAATTCGAACCTGAATAATACATATCCATTTGAATGATAAACAAATTCATTTAATAAACTCCTACAGTTTCCGACACATTTTGAGACGATCGCAAACAATTTTATTACAACTTCTTTAAAAATTTTAAGATGTTGTCTTTCACTTCTATTGTTTTTATTATTATTTTTATTTTTTAATGAAATTCTCTGAAGTGAAATATTTCGATGTTCCATAGTTTAGAACATCTGTGTTGGGGTGTTCAAAGCGGCCTTAGCTTCTAACTGATACTCGTCTTCTTCCCTGGAGAAGAAAAAAATCCATAAATTAGTATTAGTCAATCAAAATCTGTCATTCAATATATTTAAGAGGCTGCTATATAAACGTCTTCAGCTTTGTAACATTTGCTAATAAAAGAAACAACCATGATATACATCCGTACCTGACAGTGATTTATTCATTTCTTTTGTAGACGATGCATTAGTCTTGTGATTCCTGTATTCATGGAATTCCCAATTATTGTTGTCTTGTGTCAGACATCTACTCAACTGCTTCCTGACAATTTATGATAATGATTTTTCTCGTTTAAAAATTAATTTATCATAATATCTGTCATACTAACATTTTAAAATCCACAGTATGATTATGAAGAAATTATCGCCGATCGGAAAAACCCTAACTATAGCCAGTCAATATAAATAGATGTCCCCTCGGAGAAAACCCATGTCTTCATAGAATATTGAGCTTTAAACACACCCTTGGCCTCAAGTGGAACTCGTACATCTGATCCATCGTTAAAGATGGTAAAATGTTCGGCTCCCTGTACCGCTTCTGGCAGAGCAGCACATTCCTTACTTTCCATTCTCGATAGAGTTCAAAAGCGTGCCCCAGTCCTTGTGGGTGACGAATTATTTTCTATCCTTCAACCTCTCTCTCACAGGCAGGATGTGGACAACTTCACTGCCCTCTCACTAGTTCGATGCAAAGTGCTCGGTTGAACTATATTCCTTGGTTCCGGTAGCTCTAACCTTCAGTGCTAAGACTCACCATGCCACTTAAATTGTACCAAATATCAACATTCCATCGGTGAGAAATAAGTTCCACTTGAACAGCTTCTTCCTGCGAACAATCGATACACAGGAGGATGTTTTCCCGGTGACTACAATCTTAACAGCTTCAAGTTAACCATTAACTTCTTCTATCCGTATAAACTCTCTCTTAGCGTAACGCTACCTTACTGTAAAAAAAAAAACTGTTCTTAGAACAGCCAGAATTCGAACACAATTTGCCAATTCCTTTGTGTGATGACAAACTAATAAATTGATAAAATATTATTACCTTATCGACAGAACATTTTCCTTGGAAATACCATCAAAAGTATCCTCCATGTGTTTATTGTTGGTTTCGGGGAGAAAGAGATACGTGACACCAGCTAAAATGCAGATAATTCCCATTATCAAGAGCGGTAAACTGTCGCCCAGTTTTCCATCTGCAACGGATCGCTTGTGTTAAAAAGAGAAAGGTAATATTGTTTAAGTGTTTCTTTGTATGAAAACTATGTAATCTTGTAAGTCGAACTGAAATAATAAAAGTATGAATTATTGCTATTAGAGTACAAGCGTCAAAATTAATTTAAATCATAACTTCCTTCTGGTGAGGGTTTCCTAGTTTTAGTAAATTACCACGGAAATTATTTAGTTTCATTAAAATTGAAATTTGCGGATACAGTCAAAAATTTAAGGTGATGAAAAGCAGGTTTTCAATAACCTATTAACTTAGCTTGTTGCCTTGACTTATCTAAATATTCTTTAATTTTGTCTTTCACCATGCCATCACATTTATTCTGAAATTCTTTGTAAATAATCATAAAATGATCGCATTTTCCTTTTGAAAATCATATTAAACGCATGTTTTCTTGGTGTGGGATGGAAAATCAACTGATTCATATATTACACATTATAAATTCCTCAGATGGTTCAAACAAAACAAAATATATCACGTGTTCCCTTCTTAAGATGAAGGATACGTTGTTTAAGGTCGCAAAACTCAATACCTATGAACATACACGGGTTACAAAAATGCAATATTTGTTTCTGTCAATGACAGAAAATATGGCACAAATCCTAAAATGATAATGAGAAGAGCAGGTCTTCATAGTCTTATTTATTAACCTAGTGAAAATTTAGGTCAACACCCAGCGGACGACAGTGTTTCCTCCTTAAACGCAATCTCCAGGGCATGCGGGGTTTATTTGTGGGTGGCTCGAGTATTTATATATACTGATTAATGGTGCATCATGGGTAGAATATCTATTGTATTATCTTAACCGTTATTTGGTGGGTGGTAAGGACTATGTTTCAAATTATTCTAGGGACTATTGAGGGGAAATAATTGTGGATTCAAATGCAGTTTTGCAACTACTTAAAACCCACTACGGATGAACGTGAGCACCACATAAATTGTGTCAGTTCGAAAAAACTTTGACCAAGTTCCCTGATTATTTGGATGCCTCTAGCCTGACAAGCGCATCTGTTACAACGAAGTTGTTATGGTGATTTTCTAAGCGTGGCTTAAATGTGGAACAAGAACGAAAATCTGGGCACCCCGTGAGGATCGAACACACTACTCAGTAGTAATTGTTCTACCAAGGCAAGCCTGCTAATTATTACACCACGTCGAAGCGTCGTAACGCAGCTATCATAAGTTATGTCTTGACTCATCAGTGCGTAAATAACAGAAACTTGATTTTCTTGATACAGTTTGTTGCCAAGATGAGTCATAATAAATGAATGAAGTTTAATCTTGCTACAACTTTTTTTTTTATTTCCTACATCCGTTTTCCGTTAGTTTCGGCTTTATTTGAAAGTTTGAATCAAATATAATCACACAGTCTACATACCATTAATATTAGGTAAGGAGCTATGACACCACCCACTCTAGCAAATGTAGACATCGCTCCCAGTGCTCCGTTTCTCACACAGGTGGGGTACAATTCACACGTGTGCAGGTAGATGATCCCAAATTCGCCCGTAATGCACAATCTGCTTAATATGGCCAATGTTGTTGCGATCCATTGTAGATCTGAATAAGAAAATCCAAATCACATTTATCAAATTAAAAGGATTATCTGGTAAGAATAAATAAAGGCAGTTTTGTACAAAATGGTGGAAAAATTGTAGAAGCAAAGGCTTCAGAAATATAGTGACAGATATACATATGCACACACACATAATTTTTAAATATATGTATGTGGGTAATTTAAGACATTGCTACACTGGTTGTTTCCTTGTCACAGAAAGTGCTTTAAGTTTCAGTTCTACACACTAATTATGTTTCCTTAATTCCAACTAATTGCATGTCTTGCACAAATGGCCAAACAAATTATAGAAAGGAAAGAAAAAATAACAGTCATTTTCTCTTACCTTCTGAAGCATACATTCGCGGAAAAATTGTCATGGCTCCTAAAATTCCCCCAATAACCATAAAGGCAATATACAGTTTCTTTCTGCCAACCCGGTTTAGTAAAACCATACACAAAATGTACGCTGGGATTTCCACTAGAGCACCAAAGAAGAAATTCAGGAAGATGTTTCCACTCAGATGTTCGGTGTTCAGCAGCAATCCGTAATAGGTAAAACTCGACACACACCTGTGAATAGGGATAATACAATGATAAATAATTTCACAATTGAAAATATCAATTATTCATTGAACAAAAGCTTCAAATTTGTATCGGGATGACCTATTTCTCTGTTGAAAAAAGAATGACCTGCGATATCTTTTTTTCTCTTAATGTCCCACAGTGCTTCGCTTGTCGCCAAGTTCCTCCACCATCAACCCAATCATTATTAGGTTTGTAAAGCCGTTCTTTTCAAAAGATGAACCACTTAGACACGGCTCAGACGATGGCAGACGCAATCCCTTTCTTTAAAAACGAATTGATCACCAAACACTCCAAAATATTTATACTTTGGTAAGAATCGTGTGGTGAATACAACAGGCTTTAAAATGTCAGAAAAATTCAAGATCACTTGCACAATTATTAACATATTAGTCTCCAAGAATGTTGATTTTTATTGTGAGAGGTCTGATACAATCTTATAACGCAATCTTAGTAGTGCATAAGCTTTACTAACTCATAATTATTTTTCAAATGAAAATACGTATAGGGAGATATGAAAGTCACTAGTCATAAGAATGATTACAACCCAAATTACGGACGAAAGGCCAATTATTTAGACGGCAATAAAAACAGATATTTTAAAAAAAAAGAGAAAAGAATAGTGAAAACACGATTACGATAATTGATATAATAATAGAAACCCATACAAAGCAAGAAAAAGAAACAAAATAAATATGGAATGACGTAACAAATTTCATGCATCATTGATTTAGAGAGGACAATTAATCAAAATGTCCTGTCAATTAAAAGAAACAGTCGACTAAGATGCTTGACATAGGTGTACCGACACATCCGGATCTGCTACCACCGAACATTTTATTAAAAATCGAGAATATGTTGCATCCTTCCACATGGGGATATTTTCTTTTTCTGAGTATTTTGTAGATCGCATTCTAACTACAATTTAAAAGTCCCGGAAATTATTTTTATTGAATAAAAACAACTATCCCCGTTTAAACAGAATAGTTGATTGTTTATACTTAATGTGATCCTCTTATAAAAAAGTATTCACGCCACAGTATATTCTTGAGGTGGCATTTTTTTTTTTTTTTTGTCATGTTCTTTTAATCTGTGTGCAAGGTAAATTTATTTACCTTGAACATGCTTTGAAGAGAGGCATGAATCTGGTTAGGCTTTTCTTTTTCTTTTTTGTTCTGGTCTGTTTCTACTACTGTAGCGGTGTTTGATATTTCCCTTGGTTCTCTCTATTTTTAATTGTCTGTTGTGTACGAAACCTTTATCCCACTAATAATATTTCCAGTTATTTAGGCTAGAATGAGAGCAGAACTGCTAAATCGTCTCTTCTCTTTCCAGATGACTGGTTTGGTATGTTTTAGTTAAAAAAAAAAATCTAAACAAATTCTAAAGGCTTGATATAATTTACTCAAAACCAGTTATATTGATTGAAATATGAAGAACATTACGACAAATATCTTATCCCAATGCTAATTTTATTAGTCATAATCTCGATGAAAACGTTAATCAACACAATAAAGACAACACATTCAAACTCATGATGAAAATGAAGTTTAGATATTAAATGCATGTGAATGAAGCGCTTCTTATAGGTACATTCAATCAATTTTCAACTTTCGATTCTCGCTTTGTGCCCCATGCTTTCAGCTTTGTGCCACATCTAAGCTACGCTTAGAAAAACACCAGGGGACTTCGACCTGGTGTAATGGTTAGCAGGCGTGTCTCGCTAGATTAAATACGACTGTAAAGTGAGTTCGATCCTCACTGGATGCTCCATACCTTCTCCCTTGTGCCAGATCTAAGCTTCCATATACTTTTCTAATAGGCTTCATTTTGTTTATTCCATCTGATGTCGCTAATATGTATGAATTGCCAGGTCCCATCCCTTTAGTTTTTATTGCTTCATCAAAATCGTCACTGTGACGATAAATATAGAAGAAAGAACTTCTTCGTTCGGGTTCCAATGTAGTTTCCAAATTTGTACTTAGCATCATCATTTGGTACGATGTTCTGTTTCAGGTGATCAAAGCGAGTCAATTGTTGCAGTCTTCTGATGTTACTACCGATATTATGATCGCGGAGATCAATGCAACTTGCAGCTTTATTCAAAACTATGGTTATGCCTCTGTCGACACCGCGTGAAATTCCAAAAGGAATTAATATTGATGAAAGGGTTGCATCACAAGTGCGACGTCACAAAGATTTGAAAAAGAGTCCTGTGACGAAGTTCAAACACTTGAAGAATGTTTTCTTCATGACCTTTTTTACCTAAACTTGTTGAGCGGGGTTTGTCTTCAACTAATAATCGGCTTTCTCAGTTATCCCAATGGAATGTAAGTTATGGGTTCATTCAAAATTCAGACCCTCTTTTAAATGCAGTGAGAAGTAGGAATCTGGAGGTGCACTGCAAACGATTTCAAGCAAAATCTTTTGATGTTGAGCTAGAAGAATGATCCAAAGAGATTAAGAGATTTCCCTCAGTTCATAAACAGGAATTGGACATCAAAAATAAAAAAAAAAAAGCGGAAGCTGAAACTACCCATGGTTTTTCGTAATAACTTATTTGACACTCACTCAAACTTGTGCATTGCATTACGAGTGTTGCTTACTACACTAGTCACTGTTGCAAGGGCTGAAAGAAGTTTCAGCAATTTAAAACTAATAAAAAATTATCTACGAACTGCAATAAATGATGAAAGGTTAGCAATGATTTCCATTGAAAACGAAAGTGCTCACTCCCTCGACAGTGAGGCAGTTGTGAATGTATTTCCGCTTGCTAATCATTGAAAAAATACCATGTCAAGTTCTATTTTTATCCCTGATATTGAATGCACCAATAATCTGCAGATAAAGAGACTGAGATCTACTTGATAAGTTCAGCATTCATGCAATCTTTGCCTGTTACACGTTTACAGTTTTTATACGAGAGTTATTAATCCAACGACATTGAAGGTAGCCACAACTTCAAGTATCTTCATATAAAAAGTTTTCGAACGAAATAGTTTGTTTTTTTTTTAACAACGATGTTAGTGGATGCGGTTCTCGTGGGTATTTCTTAGGAGTAATATAGTTGGTGCATGTAGCTGAAAAAAAACTAACAGAGAGTAGCACCAGCCCAAACAGATTTGTATTTATACATTGTATTGTATTAATTTCAGTTTTTCTAGTTGAATTGTCTATATAAGATGGTAGGACCCATTATTGTACATAATTAAATTACAATAAAATCTTATATGATTACAATTACTATGAGGATTGCAGTGTAACTCCAATTCTTTTAGCAAGACAAACGAAATTCAACGTTTTCTCTGTCTACATCATTTTCTCTTTCTTTCTTCGTCTCTGTCTGCCTCTCTCTGTCTTTCACTCTCTCTCTCTCCTACTTCCATCCCACTATCTCAGTGATGAAAGGTAAGTATAACGAGTTGAACATATAGTTGAAAATATACAAATTATTTAGCTATGAATCGTATTAGAGGAAACATTTCTGAGTTTTTTGGTGCAAATGCCTGACAGCACCAGATCTAGAGACGCTAAACCATGTATCAGCATAAATTGTGGATTATCTCATTCGTCAAAGTTTACAGAAAATTTCCACTCGTAGTCTACCACTAACCTTAAAAACCCCTAATTGGCCTAATTCTTCTGTCAAGCAGTAAATACATCAAGTCATCAGGCATGGACAGCGTTTTTCTTTTGGGGGGGGGTAAGAAAATTCAGTTTGTCGGGGATGTTTCTTTGTTTCAGCGGAGATGCGTCATCGATTAATCTTTATAGAAATGTAAAAATTTGCGATTTGTTTTCGAGTAAAATTTAGTCATGAAAATATTGGTGGTTATTACAAAACGAATAACATTTTCTCAAATATTTTTAAATAAAAAAAAACTATTCATTATAAAAGTAAATAATTCATGAATATGTACTGAAATGTTCATTTAAACTGGATAATTTCTCTGATTTTTGGTAATTAAAAAAAAAAGCATTGCTCTTTCCCCACACACAAATTTCCTTTGAAGGCGTGTGGCTCCAAGGTTAGGAAACTTTGAAGTCAACATGTTGTAAAGAGGGACCCCGTATCAAAGTTTCGGGTGTGGTCCGAGATCTTAGCCCGGCGCCGTATACACCTACCACAACTCAACTTTCCGCCGAAATCTAAATGAAAATAATAAGGGTTTAGTGACGCAAGTGTTATGATGTTAAGTGTTTCGAGGAGAAGAGGTGAATTCATACCTTTCACATGGGTATTTCCGCGTAAGTGAACCCAACTGGAATTATAGCTCGGCTCTCCGATTAACAATTCCGACATTACACCACCTGCACATCTTAGAGCACCTGGTATTCCCAAGCGGCCACCTTCCTGAGTACTGACCAAGCTCGACGTTGCTTAACTTCGGTGATCGTATTCGGCTTCTTGTTTTACCTCAAAAGTCACATTTATTTATTTATTTTTTGTTCACTTCCGGTTAAGTGAATACCGCTTAGAAGACCCAACTACCAAGACGTTATCAGACGACCATAAACCCCGAAACATTTCAGACGGATATGAAAACTCACACCATCTCCCTCTATATGGGTATCATAATCATAGTACCAGAAAGCAAAAGGATAATTTATGAGAGCGCCCTATAAAAATCTGACAAAACCAGTATGTTCATCATAAGATTACATCAGATCTCTACGAATAAGATGCATAGATTTTTAGAGTGAAATAATGAATATATTGTTTATTTTACAAACAATCATTTAAACGGAAAATTTATGAATATAAATTAGTCATCGATATTAATAAACGTGTGAAATTAAAACAAGAATAACAAAAATTCTCCATTAAATTTTGGGGTACGCTTAATATAATTAGATGTATATTGATAAACGAAGTTATTCATACCAGTTGAACAACAGGATAATGGTCCTTTTTCTAAGTTGTGGATTTGTGAATATTTTCCAGAGCCTGACAGTCCGATTTTCGACCACTGGGATTTCTATATCTTCCGATTTGCAAGTAAAAAAACGCTTGTTAACTTCAGCAATTTTATTCAAAATGATTTCCGCTTCCTTTTCCTTTTTCACGATTAGCAGCCAACGTGGTGACTCTGGTACAACCCTAAATTGAGTAATAACAACGAAATACGTTTTAAGAACGTTTCAACAAACACTTACTGACAGAGAAATACAAAAGGCAAATGTCAAAAACTTACTCATTAATTGCAGAAATAAGAGAATATTTCGGTTAGTTCTCATAATAAATTGAGCTTTTTGAACTGTTCAATAAAACATACGGACAAAAAAATATTGAGATTGCAACAGAGAATGCGAAATCGACTTTAATCAAATGCCATATTGCAGATTTGGCTGGGCTTGTTGCCACTTACTCCGCAATAATGTTCATCAGATCATCGTTTAAATTTATAATACAAAAAATCCTATTAACAAAAATTATGGAAATATGCTAATTATAATAAGCTAATTATAATAATAATTCATGAGAATATTATGAATGTGGCAAAACCTCGGTGATATTTGGCAGTGTCATCCTGACAACATGTGGCCAAGGATACTGATGTAGAATTTGACCTCGTCGATTAACAACTTGCATTTTGCTTAACTGAATTTCTATTTCATCCAATTGCTGGCGGTAAGATTCGGTAGTGATCTCTAATTAGATTCCGGACATCTGTAAAGGATAATCCCAACAGCGAACCTCCAAACAATTACCATAATCTTTTGTTGGTACAATTTTAGTTTTGAAAAGTCTTTTAGAGTTTTGTCATGATCAATCCACTGAGCCGATCGAGGATTATTGTCATAACGTTATAAATTTATCATCACAAGTCCCTATTCGATCAAGAAATTGATCATTTAAGTTTTTCGGATGTGTTGTCACTTAGTCTACAATAATCATCATCATATCATCGTTCAAATATATATTATATAAAATCAGCTAAACAAAGATCATGGAAATGAAGTAATTTTAATAATAGAAAGGTGATAATACGTTAAAGACACAATAGTCAAACATAACACCAGCAAGTGTCGGCTTTATGGAGATGAAGATGAAAATATTAACATAATAACTAAATATCGCAAGCTGTTTCAAAATAGATATAATAAAACTAGCAAGCCCTAAACCAACTACATATTTTTTTCAGTTATTGAATATCTTATTTACACTATCCAAACTATTGTCTTCATCTCTAGAGTTGTCATCATAACATTTCGGCCTTCGGATCAAAACAACAAAGATAAGAACAATAGTCCGAATATAAATATTGGAAATAATGATAATTCCTCATTCCATCAATTCAGACAGATATAAAATAGCTTGTAATAAAACATTTCTCAAAATATGCAGTAGTTTATGAAACATTTATTGCATCAAGGGACGCATACAAATGGATGTAATTAAACCAGTTTCATAATTTGATAATTCTATTCTGTGTTTATTAAATCCCACTCAATTTAGTTAAAAATGCAAAAGCAATTTTTTAAAAAGGGTCAGTACATAGAAAGATGAAAACAGAAAACAAAGAACAAACAATATATGGAATTTATAGCGCTTTAAATCTTACCAGAGATAAAGTAATCCAGTCGGTATTGAGGGTAGAGAAACCAGTAGAAGGATCAGATCCCAGTTTCGTACATAATATACCAATAAGCTAAGAATAACATATCCGAATGATATATACATTTGAACGGACATGGAAGCATTCGCCCTGTTTTTCATTGAGGAAATTTCAGTTCCTGTATAGTACAAAATTGAATTAAAAGCAAAAGACAGTACTTTCAAAATAGAAATTTGCAAAAACCTTAAAATTTAAACATTAATGAAAAAAAAAATAGTTTCATTTGCACCATAGAGGCCTAATATAGAATGAGAGATGGTTAACGGGCTAATCTCGGAGATTATTCACTACTTTTTATGAATTCGATCCACACTGTGCGCTGCAACCCTGTGGATTCCAGTCACCTTAAACTTACTTAGGTAAATGCCTAAATGCATTATTTATTTTTCTCAAGTTGTAGAAAGTATTTTTAAACTTAAAATGAGCGCCCGTCAATTTTCCCCGATTAATCTACCCCCCCCCATCGCTCTCTAATTATATATATATACGATTGGGTCTAGCATGAAACAGCCTGTCGCCTCTGAGTGTTGACTTCAATGTGCACGTTTATATTTATATTTACATACGTTCTATCTCTGATGTAAATATAAATATAAACGTGCACATTGAAGTCAACACTCAGAGGCGACAGGCTGTTTTCATGCCAGAACCAATCGTCAGGCTATATATATATATATATATATATATATATATATATATATATATATATATATATAACTCCAAATGTTATTGTAGTGGTTTACCAATTTTGAAACAGTATGAACTATATATAGGCCTTCACATTCAAGTGACTTGATAAAGAAAATAGGCTCTCTGGCATGGCTCAAAAAATGCACCTCGATTTTCAGGGAAAGCCATATTTGATCTCTGGATGATATAAGTTTCGCACATGAAAGTTGTAAACCGGTGCTTCATCTCTCTATATATATATATATATATATATATATATATATATATATATATATATATATATATGTATGTATGTATACTGCATGTTGGCCGAAATACTTGATGTTTTTAGTCCGATAGATATCTATGCACACGGAAAAACATTTTATTATTTACAGGCAAGGTCGGGTCTTCCTTACTTGGAAGATAGACAAAACACAGTCTTTTAATATCAGTTATTATAAATATACTATAAACTACCAATAATACTGATTTATTTACTGCTATACTATAAATTACTTATAATACTGATTTATTTACTGCTGAATTATATTCTTATATATAATCTGTCTTAATGAAATACCCTTTATTTATTCACAATGACAGAAAATTCATTAAAATGTTCGCTTCTTTTTTAAATAAAATGTTGTTTCTCGTCCACAATGATGTTAAATTTTAAATATTGGATTTCGTGATTATAAGAATTTACGAGGCATTATGATAATTTAACTGACAGTTACTTGCCAGTATTTCTCAATGGCTACTTAACAGAAAAACCAGAGTATCGACGAGTGAAATTTTGTAAAACGTTTTACAGACAACTTCCTAATAAAAATGTTCTTCCCTCACCCCCGTTGAATCTTGTGCATGATTAAGCTTACTTCCTAACTGAACAAGATGGCGTTTTACTGTCACTGTCATGTGCATGATGTTCGATTCAAAATTAAGATAGAACATGTACAGTAGAATACAAACTTCAGACAATCAAAGAATATCGACGATTGAATTTTTGACAAAAGACTTACCAAAGACAACTGATGGAATAAAAGAACCAGCTCCACCGACGGCTGTCAAAAAACGGAGCACAAGAATCACATGGATATTCATAATTTGCGAAGACAGAATCCCAGCAATACCTTGCAGCATGAGTGCGCCGATGATGATGGTCTTGCGACCGAATCTGTAAAAAAATGATCCATTATTAGAGGAATATGTTTTTTATTCAAAAGAAAATTATAAAAGAAAAATCTAAATGTTTTAGCCACATCCATGCTATCACAAACAAAATATGGGACTATAAATTACGAGCGAATTTCTCAGAGATGAATAGGGAATTGAGGCAACAACGATATGGTTCTACAGAGGGATGCTGATAAGATTATGGATCGAATGTGCAAGAAATGGAAATAAAAATGACGCTTTTACTTTGAATCAGAAAAACAAATTAGGTGGATATAATGTTGCAATATATATATATATTATATATATATATATATATATATATATATATATATATATATATATATATATATATATATATATACATGTGTGTGTGTGTTTTTTTAAGACATTTATGTTTATACATTGTTTTTATAGATAGAAATAGTTTAGTAAATGCTTTGTTTTATAATAAACAGTATAAAACAACATTTACCGGTCTGAATGTCCGAGAAATTTTCATTCAGGTCGGTCAATGTTATCTAATACTGTTTATTATAAAACAGACCATTTACTTAAATATTTGTATCTATAAAAAAAATGTATAAACATAAAATGTCTTAAAATAATTGTCGGACTTTGTCCATTTCATATATATATATATATATATATATATATATATATATATATATATATATATATATGTGTAACTAGCACTATATCACATGCCGGTAATATAATAGTAAATGCCCGTCAATCCATAAAAGTTATACAGGCGAAACTGTCTTATCCATCAAAGTCACATCTATGGCAAAGGAGAGACCTCTGTTGGAACATCGACACTGAAATGTACACGTATAAATAAACCAGGGCTTAACTTTGATTTTAAATAATACCACCCTAATAAATAAAGAAAATATATTATGTAGAAAATATCACAATTTAAAAAAAAGGAAAAATCCCCCGTAAACAATTTAAATAGATCTCACACCATTGTGAATGGCTGTTGGTCAACTTCCAATCAAATGCGTTATAGCCGTCTATGGTTTGCCTAATATAAGTTTTATATTTGACGGCGGATCAGAGATCAGAGGGCGGATCAGAGATCAGAGGGCGGATCAGGGGGCAAGATGTCTTCCGAAGCTGTGAACATGGGCACAGAATTGCACAAGGAAGACATCCGTTGAGGTTCCGGTCGTTACATTAGTGAAGTCAAAACCCCGGAGGGGCATACTCATCGGGCCACTGACGACATTTGCGAGGCGTTTCTTTACCCAGGAGCCTGGTCTCCGTGACGAGAAGTTTCGTAGCTATTTGGCTGACTTTCCTCGGCCTTCGCCGACTGAAGCTGCTAGCTGCGAAGGAGAGATCACGGAGGGCGAAGTCTATGCGACAGTGAAGAAGGTCGGCAGAGTCAGGTCACCTGGTGTAGATGGTTTGCCCTATGAATTGTACTTGAGGCTGTCGCACATCTTTGTCCCGATTTTGACTGTCGTGTTCAACAACTGGTTCCGGCAGGGGTCCCTCCCCAATCGGTTCACCAGGGGTGTGATCACACTGTTGAAAAAGGGCAAGGGTGTTGGGAGGGAATTAGACGACTATAGGCCCATAACTCTGCTAAACACAGAGTTAAAGATTTTGGCCAAGATCCTGCAGGAGCGTTTGCAGTCAGTTGCTGAGTCTCTGTTGGGTCCGGAGCTGTGAAGGGCCGAACATTTCAGAGCAACCTGCATCTGATCCGCACGATCATAGAGGGATGTAAAAGACGACGATGAGTTCGCGCTAATCAATTTGGATCAGTCCAAGGCATTTGATAGGGTTGACCATCGCTACCTTGCTGCTGTTCTGCAGGCCGCCGGATTCGCACCCGACTTCTGCCGCTGGATTAGCCTGCTGTATCGCTCCCCAACTGTTTTGGTAGTGGTGAACGGGAAGATGCCTGGCGCTTTTTGTCTCGGTCGGTTCGTCAGGGTTTTCCACTGTCGCCCCTATTTACTTTAGCGTTGGAGTCTCTCCTTCGCCGGCCAAGGTAGGGTCTCGAGCCAGGGTTTCTGCGTACGTGTTCGTCCCGCAGCGACATTGGGGTGGTATTGTAGGCGCTTGATCGATACGAAAACGTCCAAGCTTAACCACAAGTCTTCCGGCTTGCGGTCAGGTGCCTGGAAGAGGGTCGAACTTCCCGGACCTTTCTGTTGGGCGGACGGTCCTGTCCGCATTCTTGGAGTGTGGTTTGGACCCAACCTCCAGCTGGAGAAAAATTGGTCAGAAGTACAGGGCGAATGTCGACGTGGCCGGTGTGACTTGGCGGCGAAGGAGGTTGTCTGTAAAGTGCGGAGGCGTGTGCCACTTACGTCTTTCCGATTGTCCTATACCGCTTGTCTGTAAGAAGGCGCTCGAGCAATTGCTATCCTCTATTTTATGGAGGCGACGCAGTCATAAGGTCGACGGGAGAGTCTGTGCACAACGTCCGTATCATGGGGGGCTGGGAATGCTGGACTTGGTGAGCCACAAACTCGCCTCGACTTTGGCTTTCCTACGCCCCGCACTGACGAGAGATTCGATTATGGCGGGGATTGTAAGGGACGCCTTCCCTTTCCTTATTATCAGTCCTTACATCTCTCGGGTTGAGCGCCATCGTAAACTGAGCGCCAGGGGCGGATTACCTCAATAACCCTGAGTTTTCATTTACCTGTCGACTCTCAATGACAAGGCCTTCATATGCGGCTTGGCGGATTTACCAGACTGTGAACGATGTGACCTTGGCTTAGAAGATACGGCTTTTTCGCCTTCTACCACTTTCCTCGGGTCCGCCCCCTGTGGGACCATGTCGGCGAGTTGACGACTCGTATCACCCCCGAAAAGCCCGTGCTCATTGATCACGCATACACGTATGACAGTGCCGCCGCAATCTCCTGACCTCATTCCCATAGAAAACTTATGGAGCATTATAAAGTACAGGCTCTCGAGAAAGCAGTAGAGCAACATGCTCCATAAGTTTTCTATGGGGTTGACGTCAGTAGATTGGGGCAGCCATGTCATAATCTGCTTCTCATCAAAGTATTCCTTCATCAATTTTGATTTGTGACAGGGAGCATTATCCTGCATAAAAATGAGCTTGGTGGGGTCGATTTTCACCCTTTCAGCAGAAGGGAGCAGACAAGACTCTAAAAGGCTCTTGTACTGCTCGCTCCTGAGGGTCTTTTGAATAGGTTTTAAGAAACCATTTCCATGAAAAGAAAAGCACCCCTAGAACATTATACTGAATGGATGCTTGACAGTACTTACTGCTAAATTCAAAGAGCTTTCAAAGCTTCTTCGGGTTTTAGATCACTTATCCATTGAATTTAGCTCAAGTTTCGTTTCATCGCAAGCACGCACTTTTAATATTTTATATATATATATATATATATATATATATATATATATATATATATATATATATAGTTGAATATGACAGACAGGATGCTATGATGTAGTTTTTTAATGCAATTTCTCATGTGATCGGTAGATAAATTATATAATAAACTGTCCATTTTTTTATTTTTTCCCAGCGCTTTCGGCTATATATTTAGCCATTTTCAAGGTCGAAGTATATTAACTGTTAACAATAAATAGATTGTTGTATTTATATAATGTTTTCATTTTGAGAACACGTTCAAGATATTGTGATATATATTGTAAGCTGATAAATCCAATATTTGCGTAATTTTGGATAAATTGGATTACCACGAACATCTTCAGCACCTCTTTGATGACCATTCTAAATTCTCTAAATTGAATAAGAACACCACCGAAACTCTAAAGAAATATGTTAATAAACTCATAACATTCAACAATACTGTTGCAGGATCCCTAAAAATAAATCAATTTACTGGGGATTACCAACCTGGCTACTTATACGGTAATGTTAAAATACACAAACCGGGATACCAATTAATGCCTATCATTTCTCAGATTACAACATGCATATACCAACTATCAAACATTCTCCATGATATTAATAACCAATATCTTCCAACTAATTATAGTTTATATTATTCTACCCATGAATTCCTCCAAATACTTAAAAGCACAAAATTAAAAACAAACCAGTCACTTGATGTCGAGAATTCATTTACTAACGTTCCTGTCATAGAAACTATTGATATTATCATTAATTCCATGCATAAAAATAATTTAATTCCACCTCAATCAATCCAACCCAATATTTTAAGAAAACTATTGCTCTCTTGCACCACAAGAGTACTTTTTATAGACAGAAGGGTACTATTTATACCCAAACTGATAGAGTAACTATGGGAAACCTTCTCAGACCTTGATTCTCCAATTATTATATGACCTATATTGAAACAAGGTTTTTCCTAAAGTTATTAACCCTAGAATATATGTTTGTCATGTAGATGATATATTTATTTTAGCTGAAAACAAAAAGGAAATTGAAATTCTGAAAACTATATTTCAACAAAATTCCGTTTTAAATTTTACTTATTAACGTAGTGAAAAAAATAGTCCATTTCTTAGATGTTCTCGTCGATTTTAGTAAAAATACATTTACAACTTCTGTTTATAAAAGAACAACTAGTAAAGACTATTGCCGTCTTAATTTCTTTAGTGAATTCCCTCTTAAATATAAAATAGGTGTTACTAAAAATTTCCACAAGAGTGCGCACGAAAATTCATCCTCTCGCATGCTTTTCTTTAAATAATTAAATAACGTAAAACAAACGTTTATTAATAATGGATTTCGTAATCAATTATTGGATTTCTATATTAGGCTTTTTCTGTCTAAGGTAGCTAATAGCAACGACGAGAATAGAAACATAAACAATTGTAGAGGTGGAATCGAACCTAAGACGCCCAGTTACAAGACCGGAATGGTCTTGGCGTCACACCCCCATAGAAGTAGACTCGCCCGCTTACACGAGAGGCGAGAGTGGGCTACTTAAACAAGACATTTACGGCAACGAGTATCGAGGCAGATACACGTCGTCTCGCTGCTACCTTACATGGCGTCGCCGATAT